ATTATCCTTCCGTATACCGATACCGCAGGCGAAGTAATTTCAAAGGGCGCGGAAAGCAGTTTTCCGATCAACCACATCGGAGACCTTCGTGTTTAAAGGCGTAAAAACTCTTAATACCAAAAGATGTAACCCTCACACGAGTAGTACAATAGTATAAATACACCTTATAATACTATAATAATAGTAGATAGTAGAAAAAATCCCCCGTATTGTATTGTAATTTTAATGCCATATCCCATTCTTCAAACTGAAACCTCCACCGAAACACAACCATACAAGTATAACTGCTTAGCGGAAGGAACACGAATAGGCCAGAGATAATTTCCTAACGGCAATAAATTATGTATTACTGATTTAATCATCATCAACGTATCAGTCATTAACTGTCCAGTGCTGAACATAGGCCTCCCTCTGATGGCGGGTACCAGGTTTTGCCACGCTTGGTAGGCAAGTTTACAACCGCAATGATTTGGTGATGTTTAAAGAGAGACACTGCTGTCCATACAGAATTACCAGAGGGAGACTTTGTACAAAAGTCGATTGCTTGGGTACCTCTATTCCAGTTGTGTTTCTACCGTGAAGCAGTTGTGTTTTTATGGCTGTGTTTCCGTTTGGGGTACAGAGGCATAATACCTTTGTCCTCAGGAACGGCAACGCATGAGAGATATCTATCATACTGTACTGTTTATGTCTATAGGGGACGGTTATCACTGTCCATCAAGTAGGCCGTCAACTTGTTTGCCATTCTAAGTTGCATAAAAAAATATTAAAAAAATTAACGTTTTCTCGCCTAATTTTTAATGTGTCTAATTAATGGGAGAGCAAATTTCTTTTGACATATTTCTTAAGTTAGTGTCATTTCTTAGTAGAAACAACACAACCATACTGTTTCTTTATTTTTTTATAAACACATTACCTGTGCTGGTAATTATTATTTCTTTCCACTCTGAGTTTGTTGGAAAGAAATTCTGAAGAGTTAAACTAGCCTGTTGCATATTTGTACAAAATAATTTATAATAATAATATAGTTAGCTCTGAAGTACGGCTTCGGGAATGAGAGGTTGCCGTACTATAAGTACGAGCCCCTGCCGGTCCTTGAAAGCGACAGCGTCAGGCTCTACTGGGACCGATCCATCATTACAGACGGGACAGTTCTTGCGAACAAATCTGATATCGTGGTGATAGATCGGGCACTCTCGAGGGTGTTTTTGGTGGATGTCACCATACCGCATAACGAGAACCTCGTGAAAGCCGAAACCGAGAAAAAGAGAAAATATCTCGACCTGGCTCACGAGGTGACCGAAATATGGGGGATGACGTCCACCGAAATCATTCCAATTATTTTGTCGGTGAACGGTCTTATTCCAACCAGTCTGAAACAACATCTCAGACGGTTGGGATTCCGAGGCGGCGCACTCCCGGGAAAGATGCAGAAAGCGGTGCTCTTAGATTCTGCCCGCATTGTGCGCCGGTTTCTCTCCCTGGGCCCTGAACCCCGGCCGACTTCTGCCGGGGGTTAGTTTGCCATCTCCTCTCCTAAGAGGGGAGACGTAAATTTTCTAGAAATTTAAATAATAATAATATCTTCGATCAAATTTTCTTAAGAATAGAAACGCATTAGGAGTGGTAAGAATGGTAGAGTATATAAAAATGGTTACCACTTAGATGATGAGTTTTTCATTATTTAGAAAGTTTATGTTTTGTAGTAAACGCTGGCAGAATATCAGTGAAAGATAATAGGTAAAGATGAAGGCAGCCATTTAGCCCATCGTGACGAATTTGACAAGAATTAACCACATTGGTTTTCAGGGGAACTACGTGGAAGTTAACTTGATAAGGTGGTTAAATTGCAGCTAATATGTGCATCTACATACCGACATTCCGAGAGATCATCATTTCATCATTATTTTTATTATTTTTTATTAATATTATTTATATATGAGCACTTAAATATTAACTTAAGTATTAAAAATATATATTATGTATATTATAATAAGTTTACTATTGTAATCTTATGGAAAAATCAATAAAGAGTATCTATCTCTCTATCTTTTATTTTTGGCCATATATTTAAAAAATATTAAGAATTTGAGTCGGTGAGCAATTTCACGAATGATTACTACTGACTTTAACGACATCTGTTATGTAACGTATCCAAACTCATAACTTTTGTAAATTACTACGCCCTCTACATAAATAATGTTAAATTATGTTCTTACACAAAGTATGCTGGTAACAATAGATGGCATTGTAAAAAGTTTTAGAATTATTTGAACAGAGGGCGCTACTACAAATAAAAATTAAATATTAAATTTTGAATACAAGAAGAATTTACTTCACACAAAAGAACATCAACTTTAAACGTGACTAGTTACTTTCATTCAAAACCCAAACTACTTGATTAATTTTCTTAAAATTCTTTGAGACCGATATAAAACTAATAATAATCCTTTATAAAAAAAATAAAGAATATTACAAATCTGTTTGTGTGTTACGAACATTATAAAAAACAATACAACCGAATTGAGAACCTTCTTTTTAAAAAACGGTTAAAAATTAAAGATACTGAACATAGTATTAGACAAAGTGCTCCTCTATAAAGGCAATATTAGGAAATCTTTTTCATTTTACATTAGTAGAAATACACTTGATTATAATATTATCCTAAATATAATGTAAAAAATTGTAAATATTTTTGATTGTTTGTTACTTAAACACGCTTAAACGGATTTAAATAAAATCCCAACAACGATGAAACTACGAAAGATGAGGGAGTACGTAAGTCTTGTTGAAATAGTCACAATAAGTCAACTGACCTGCTTTGATCCTCACCTATCATTGGTACCCCGCCAACCTATATATACTAAATAACGCATATGACGTCCCTCATTCCATTTTCATCCAAAAATACTTAATTACATTATTAATTATCTAGGTATTGATTACTAATAACTATGTTCCTTAATAATTGTCTATTATATTCCCATTTGAAATAAATATGAATACCATTCAGTATTAGTAACATCTTTGAATAATAACGAAGTAACAAAATAGGCTTCGTCACGGACTTACAAAGTCGTCTGTCCTCTACTAGAAAATTTAAATAATCTGTTACGATCATTATGATGTTAGCTTTGAAATCTATAGATCGTTAATAAAATAAATAAGCGGCTTCAGCAAGCGGCATTCCACTAAAGAAAAGAAATTAATTACTTCAAAAACGGAAAGGTAAACAGGCAACAAATCCAGTCCACAGGTGTCAACTGAATAGCTACCGATTATAACCGAACGGGCGGCATTCCTTTGCTTTAAAAAAAAACTATAGTGCACTGACGGAATGAAAAAAGATCCTATTGTCATCTTCAATACGGTTTGAGGTTTGAAGGCTTAGTAATAATAATAGTCACATTGCCAGTGTGTGGAGCTATGTAAATATTCGATGAATTTAAATTACGTAAATGTGTGATCAAATGGATCTTGAGTGTTCAGTTCTTATCCATAATAATTTAAGATTATGTAAAACCAAGTCTGTTAATCTAAATTATACTTTCAGATAAAAAAAGATTTTCCAAATCGGTTTATAACTGACGGAGTTATGAAATAATAAACGTAAAAATAACAAACCATATTAAGAACGTTCTTCTTTTTGAAGTCGGTTGATAAATTTTAATAAATAAAAAAGAAAGTAAAGTTAGATTGCTTTTTTTATTTATTTGTTAGTTTTTAGCTCTTTGACGGCTTAAACAATCATGACGAAGTTTTAGTATACTTTAGGGAATGGAGATAGGCATAGGCTTTTTGCTCTAGTAAATGAATGAATGAATCAACAGCTTCTCTGAACTTGATTGCATGTAAGCACTCTTTAAGACACCCTCGGCTGTTTAGTATTCCATCTACCAATAATAATATCTCACATAATAATCCGATTCATCAGATGTGTCAATCGTATAACAAAATTAGCGAAAAATACGATATCTTTCATCAAATTGCTATTGGGTTTAAGTGGTCGTTGGTTTTGAGATAAAATAAGTTTGGATCATAACTGTAATCAGTAATGTAATGTACATCTATAAAAATGTTATAACGCTTATTTCTAACTTACTGTTAAATGATGTTTACCAGAGGGAGACTGTACAAAAGTCGATTGCTCGAGTACCTCTGTCCCATTCGTGTTTCAACCATGAAACAGTTGTGTTTGCATGGCTGTGTTTCGGTTTGAAGAGTGGGATAAGGCGTGAATTTACTGGGTACAGAGGAATAACATCTGAGTCCTCAGGAATGGCAACGCATGGGGTGTATCATGGGCGAAACAGTATACTCTGTTATGTCCATGGTACTACTCATGTCTATAGGCGACGGTTACCACTTTCCATCAGATAGGCCGTCAGCTTATTTGCCATTCTAAATTGTATAAAAAAAAATGTTTATAATGTAAGGTTGGCAAACTGCGTATTGATAAATTTTTGTATCGTTTTCTTTTTAATGGTTCATTTCTGTTTGCAAACTGTTGTTGTAACTTATAACAAATAAATAAATAAATGAACTTAGCTCGGACACACAGACGAAATCGCGGGTAAAACAGTTTATTTATAATTTTCAATTACAAGTTGATCTTGGTTATACACTTCTGGCAAAATACATATATAGGTGATTTTGATATAAATATTTTGTAAAGATATAAGAAAAAAATTAACATTCCATCCCAACCATGTGGATGAGTGGTGGTCCTCAACCGTGCATTTATTAAGGCACTTTCTTCGACGAACTACCTTTAAATCAATGATTCCAAAGAAAGGTTGTGCGTGGAAGAAAGTTTATTTATTTTTGTAATATAATATTCCAAATTATTGTTATTAAAGCAACGTTAATTTGTAATTAGTAAACTTTGTAAACGCTACCGCTACTGTCAAATTATCCGCCGTAATTTGACAATGACAGTGACAGATAATATCGATGCCGGCGCCGGCATTGCGCCGTCGAGTTACTAAGCCAACCAAAACCAGCAGTCTGCGCGCGCATGCGCTTCTTATTTGACGTGTTATGTTGGGTGTTCACAAAATTTTACGATTTTGACATTATTTCGTAACAACGCAAGAACTGTGCAAGTGTATGTAAATTTAATTTCTTTTTATAATGGAAAGAAACTCTCACCATCACAATCTGTCAACGATGGACCGCAATTCCAAGTTTCTTTTGCGAAAAATCACTATGGATTTCTGCATTCTGTTTTGCGGTGAGTCTGAAATTTTTGCAGACAAAATATATTCGAATTGTAATGTTTGTGTAATACTCTGATTATTAGTATTGAATAGTATTATCATATTAATTGACAGTTAGTTATTCATTTAGTAAACAGCTAAACATCCAATAGGTATCCTGAAATAACTACTATTTTTGAGGTAGGTACGACTTGGACAGCTACGAAATGACATATATTTTTTGAGTAAACTGAGTAGTATCAAAATATTACAGGCATACTTTATATCAAATAAGATTGCTAATAATTAAAGATTAATAACTGACCCAAGAATTTGTTTACATTTTATTGCACTAGATACGTAATTAAAACTGAAATAGTTACCTACATAGCTTTTATTTTTTGTGTAATATACTGTATAATATTTTTATAAGTATTTGTATTAAATAAGTCATCCTCATTATCATTTTGATATTGATTAAAAGAATCAATATATTTCAAAATTGATTAATATACTACATACCATACACATAATATACATAATATACACAACACAAATAATAAACCTTTTCGAGTTAATTTAAAAGAATTATTATTTTTATCAACATGAACATGAAAAAAACTATTGGTTACCAAGATTTGATTATGACAATAATAAAAATATTGTTTTAATAATAATTAAAAAAAAATTTAAGTAAAGAAAACTTAATGAAATGGTTTTTACTCCCTATGAAAATTTTAACTATGTTCAAATATGAACATAACTAACTCTCTTCCAGTTATATTCTTAATAAAAGTAAGAATTAAGTACTTACTTAATTAGTTAATTAAATTAATTTAAGTTAATTAAATAAGTAATAAATACAACTAAAAATTGTTAATATATATATATATATATATATATATATATATATATATATATATATATATATATATATATATTACTGAAAAAAATATAATTAATATTCTTTTCATTCAGTATGTCATTTCTCTTAAAACATATTACACTTTAAAAAAACACATGTTAAATTTTAATACAATGATTAATTAAGAAACATACATATTGGCTGGAATATGTTAACTGATTAAAATAAAAAAAAATTAAGTGATTCCCTATCCCATATATTTTGTGACAATCAATTAAGCTGTTAAGGTGCCAAGAGGTCAATGAACTAACTAACTCCCTTTCACTTTTATAATATTAGGATATATTAATTGCAAGTAATTAAGTCCCACCTACTTGTAAGTTTTTTGTATCATACAACCAGTATTAAATACCTATTAAGGGTTACATTCAGCACTGGACAGTTTTTTTATGCAACTTAGAATGGCAAACAAGCTGACTTTCCACCTTATGGAAAGTGGTAACCGTCGCCTATAGACCTGAGCAGTACCATGAACATAATAGAGTATACTGTTTAACCCATGGTACCTCCATGTGTTGCCATTCCTGAAGACTCGAGTGTTATTCCTCTGTACCCTGTAAATTCACTGCCATATCCCACCCTTCAAACTGGAACACAGCTATCCAAACACAAGTGCTTCATGATAGAAACACAAATGGGACAGAAGTGCCCAAGCAAACAACTTATGTACAAAGTCTCCTTTCTAGTAACATTAACGGCTGAAATGGTGATGATGATATTATTGTCATAATATATTATTTTAAAGTAATAATAACAGTTCTTCTGTAAAACTTAAGATTACGTTCCACAAAAAAATTTTTCTTCAATTGTGGCAAACCCAGTTTGTTTGATTTTAAAACTAAACTACTGAATTTATTTTGATAAAATTTCTATGGAACCACTCTGTAAGTATATGGTCACAGATAAATAAAAAAAAAATCCAAATAAGTTTATATCCAACAGAGTTATGAGGTAATAAATATAAAAAAAAATTAAACTAAATTGAGAACCCTCTTTTTGAAGTTGATTGGAAACTTAATATAGTTTAAAAATAGGTATTAATATATACAATTAGCACTTGCATGTTGTACTGACAAAGCTCCCATGCACACAGTGGGTGCATTGATGCACTCACATGCGTGCATTCAGCAATGACCCTGTCCGGTTCTCTCATTCATATTACTTGGAAACATTCAATTGTCAATTTGTTGTGTTGATTACCAATGTTAATATTATTAATATTTAATTATTTTTCACCATTTAATAATACATTCTTGTATGGCAGCGAATTTTTTTTAATGGATGTTATTGGAATAGTAACCCCATCTGTACTATTGGTGTACATTGGTGGGGCATCAGTGATTGATGATGGGTGAGGGTAAAGTGAATCAGTTAGTCCATATGTGATAAATTTAACAAAAATTAACCACGATGGTTTCCACGAGGGTATATTGTTAGCAATGAGGCTGTCAAACCTCAAAACGGGATAGTTACTCCACCTGCGTTATTCGGCAATGTAATGGCTGCGATGGAGAGGTACTAGTGAGGGCTGAACGATAAGTGACGAAATCAGCTTAGTAGGTCCATTGTGACGAATTCTGGGGAAATGAACCATGATGGTTTCAAGGGGGGACCGCATATAGATTGACCTGATAAAGTATATTTTTTAATGGTAGCAAACCCCCTCCTGTGCTATCGGTTGACATTGGCGTAGCACCAGTGAGAAATGATAGATGAACATGAAAGTAGGTCATTTGACTCATTGTTACGAATTCGACAAGAATTAATTACCATGTTTTCTAGGGAGAACCGCATGGAGGTAGACCTGATATGGTTAGATACCAATAGATATACTAACATCAGTTTTTATTCAAATAATAGGTACATACTATATCTCTCACAAAAGAAACAAACAATAAAATACTGAATGCTTCGATTGAAATTGAAACAAATTTTATATCATTATTTATTCACAAAAAAGCAATTTGTAAGTTTTAAAATCCACTTAATATGTATATGACGTCCTGCTGCCCTTCCATCTCATGCTGCGTACACCTAGACGCCTCTCGTGTTTACAACTGACTTAAAAAAAGAAGGCGGTCTCACTTATGTTTTTTTTTTTGTGCTTTTAGTATATTGAAATTTGATGTTATCGAATTGTTCTTCAACCATAATAAGTTGCGAGCAAGAGAAAAGCTATTTTTTTATTGCAACTTAGAATGGCAAACAAGCTGACAGCCCATCTGATGGAAAGTGGTAACAGTCTCCTATAGACATGAGCAGTACCATAGACATAAGAGAGTATACTGTTTCGCCCATGATACCCCCCCATGCGTTGTCATTTCTGAGGACTCAGGTGTTATTCCTCTGTACCCTGTAAATTCACTGTCATATCCCACCCTTCAAATCGAAACAGCTATGCAAACACAACTGTTTCACGGTAGAAACACGAATTGGACAGAGGTGCTCAAGCAAACGACTTTTGTACAAAGTCTCCCTCGGGTACATACTCTCAAATAATCCCCGCATTTATTAAATTTTATCTTGAGAACGTACACAGAAGTGCATTCACACCGTCCCGTAACCCAGGAATTATCCCAGTCACATCAACGGATGTGAGCGCTCGCGCCCAGCGAGGGCCGGAGGCCGGCAGGTAATTGAGCTCGTGTCAAAACATCCGACAACCTGTCCGATTAAGCGTATCCGTTAAGCAGCCTTTTACGCGTCGGTGTGACAGGACGACGTTGCATTAAAAATGAATTTAAATATATTTAAGTCGCAATGGAATTTGTAATCTTGTCAGTTTTTTTAAGAGTAACTGAAGTAATTGCTTCTATGTTTTGTATATAAAAAATCAAAGATATTTAAATATTTATTGCTGTGCCACGAACTTCCTTCGTATTACATCTATAGTAAACGTATATAGGATACTAGCACTTTGCCCGGTACGCGTGAATTTCATAAATAGGTAAGCCAATTAAATTTGCCATTTCTAGATGATATTTTAAGATACAACATACTCCAGATTTTAAGGTAGACTTTCAGGAACATAACTGTAAAAACCTCGTACTATTTAGACATACAGACAAAATTCGGCTTCTATTATATATGTATATATATATATATATATATATATATATATATATATTATTAAGAACCCTCACATAATTTTTTGTTAAATGTTGTATATGTTGTCTAGTTACAATTTTGTGACGTTAGTAAGATCAGTTTTCTCTATAAAACACAATCTGCCTAATTTTTATTCTGATATATCTAATAATCATGCTGAGCAAATCGGAATATCTGATATTTTATCATGTTCTCCAAAATGCAAGTGTTAGATTAGTAATATTTTTTACTTCTATGTATAATTTAAAACATATATGGATATTAATTTTCATAAAATGTCAGTTCTATGAGGATAGCTCTAGAAAAAGTAAAGTAGTAAAGAATAGCCCATCCATTTAGTTCGAAAAACCGATAACCAATGCGTAACAATAACTTTTCTGAAGTGATGGCCTCGTTCATGCAAACGCAGCGTGGAAAGACCGCCACTATATGAAGTAACGACCTCAAACGTACAGCAAAATCGCCCTTTCATTTATTTTAAGTATCTATGCCCCAATATTTTATTTCTGAAGGTCTATTTTATGTCTGTAAAATTCAAGTGTCATTTTGGTATTTACAGTAAAATCATTAAGCTAAAGACAATTTTGAACAAAACTTATAATACATTTATATCGAAAATATTTGAAATTAAATTAATGTTAGTTTATAGAGTGTTGAACTTTTGTTTTGAATTTCAGATATTCAGAAGTGGCAGACATTTTACAATTGACCCCACTATTATATTATAGAAGCTATAAACTTATGTTATTTCGTCAACAATTTGCTCGTTATAGAAACCTTAAATAAAAAATATACCTATTTAGTTTTGGCTAAAAATTTTTATTCAACTTGAGATGAAAAATTATCAGCAAACTTTGCAAAATGTTCTATAAACTTTCTTACAGAAGCATCCTCTAAATCGCTGTTTATCAATGGATCACATAGCGCACTTAAGTTTTAAGTATTAGTCTTTAAGTGCTATAAGCTTTGCCATGGACACTCTGACTTATCTTTATGGTACAA